CTTTATTAGCTTGTTTATTTTTAACACGCTACATTTATTTAAAGAAAAATCCCAGGTTGAAGCATTTTTTTGATCTTCGGGACTATGCTGGCTATTTTTGAGGATTTCCTCAAAAAGTTCTAACGCTTTGAGAAATTGCCTTGCTCATAAAATTCACGTGCTTCCTTTCTCAATTTCTCAATATAATTATCTGAAATATCTGAAATTTTGTATAAAGTAAATAAAAAGAGATGACGTAATTTCAAGTGAATTGAATCGAATTGAAGTGAATTGGAATGACAAATGCACTTATATTGTCTATTTAACTTGTGATTAACTCTTAGAGTTCCTAAACCTTCGAAATAAGAGTAGAAGTTTTTTGTCTTTAACCCATTGTACCCTTTGTTAAAAACCGTTCGTCATTACATATTATGTTTTCTTGTCCCTGTGGCTATCGTACATCGTATTGTTGTACTGTATTTAGTAAAAGAGAAAAGCTGTATTAGTAATACAAGCCCATATATATTAAAATCTATCCTGATTAAGTTTTGGCCAATTTCGATCACAAGACCCAGCCAAAGTAACTCCTAACAAAGAAGTATTAGTAAAGAAATAAGAAAAGTGACTAAATCATCAAACGGAAGCAAGAGGACACTTATTTGAATCCAACACTATCGTTATAAGGCCACGCAAAGTTAAATTTTCGGTTTGCATTACCCGCCGACACAAACTTTTCAAAACTTTTTTTTTTTTTTAGTACCAATTCTTTTAAAACAAGTATAAAAACGTTTATTTTAATGGCATTAATGAATATAATCAAAAAAACTGATATTGGTTATCATAAATTAGTAGGCATTAAAATCAGTAAATGGCTGGAGGGATATCAGAACATTTCAGGATCGTATATAGTTGAATTCATGTATGACCTGCGGGAATTTTCAGAGGTACGATAATAATCTGATGAGTTTGCTGTTGCTAGAACGGTCTAAAACCAGGAATGCTATATGAGAATTCGAAAATTTTAAAATAGAACTTAATTACATTATAATAATAATAAAATAACTATCAAGAATTAAAACTTATTATTTTGTACTATCAGTAATTAATTATTTATTTTAGCCATGCTTTTATTATTTTATTGTCAATTATAATTGTACTTAACAATCTTCTATTTATTTTTAGCCATATTGTTGACAAGAGTTGATTTAGATCGTGCATAAATTATAATATATAGTGCACAGGTGTAAAACATGAAAAGAAAATAGAGATACAATTAAGCTAGCTAGTATATTAGTTACAGCTTTTAAATTTTGTAAATTTATATATTATCTGACTACAAAACCAATAAAATTTTATTATATGAATCTTTTGGTTCTTAGATAGATCATTCTGAAAGCATCTGAGAATTTTTGTTTTTGTAGCCAGTTTAGGAGAAGATCCTTCTCATATTTTTAATATTATTTATTAAGCCGCCTATAAAACATTAATATAATTAAAATTTTAATATAATTAAAGTTTAATAAGATATTTGATTTTATACTAACTTTTTTTTGTTTTTGCAAATATGAGCAGTAAATTTTAAAGATTTTTCATGAGTTGGTATTTTGATACCTTTTTGTGTATACTCTGTACATAAAGAATATTGAGTAGCTGGAATTGGAGTAATAATATCAGTATCCCCATATTCAAAGCATAATAATAAAAATATTTGTGCAGAATAATAAGATTTTTCTATTGGTGAATTACAAGTTAGACTATCATTTATAAACACTTTTTCAAATAACTGTTTAATTGTTGTTTATTAGCTCTAATATATCAAAATTTGATAAACTTTCAGTTTCTGAATCATAGTCACTATTTTCAGTATTCAATAAGTTAATATTTGATAAACTTTTAGTTTTGAATTATAATCATTAGTTTTACTATCTATTAATTTATTGCTTTTATTAGATTTGTTAGAATTATTGCTATTTTCTTTACTATTTACTGATTTATTATCATATCGTTGCTTTCTAATTCACTATTAATATGATTATTTTTATAGAATATATTTTTCCAAACTTCTGAATCTGAATGTTGTAAATTATCTGTCTTATTTTGATTGATAGAATTATTTATTCAATTTCATTATTATTACGTTTTTTACTTTTTAATTTTGATTTAATTATTGATTTAGGTTTATTTTTTAAGTCAGACCCACTTTCTGATTCAAGCTCTTTTACTAATTTAGATTTATATTTTGATCTTGATCTAGTAATTATTAAGTGGTACATATCTTTTAATTTAGACTCACTATCTAACTCAAATTTATCTTCTAATTTATTTCTACTTTCTAACTCAAGTTCATCTTGTAATTCATTTTTACTTTCTAATTCAGGCTTATTTTCTAATTCAACTAAATTTTTTAATTTAAGCTTACTTTCTAATTCAAAGTTGCTCTCTAATCTAAATTATTTTCAAATTCATTGTTATTTTTTAAATCAAATTC